GTCGGGGGGGTCCCGGCGAAGATTTTGCTCCGTTGGGGGGCCTTTCAAACTTACGAAAAACATATGCCCAGAGGCCTCGGGAGGCTGGCTGGGTCAGGGGGGGTGGTGGGGGGGGTCCCAGCGAGGATTTTGCGGAGGGGAAGGGTCTTTCAAACCCATGAAATTTTGCCCAGAGGCCTCAGGAGGCTGGCTGTGTCGGGGGGTCGGGTGGTCCCGGCGAGGATTTTGCTGAGTGGGGGGGGCTTTCAAACCTGCGAAAAACGAATTCATGCCCCGAAGCCTCAGTAGGCTGGCTGTGTCTCGGGGGGTCGGGGCAATCTCGGCGAGGATTTTGCTGAGTGGGGGGCTTCAAGCCTACGAAAACCCATGCCCAGAGGCCTCAGGAGGCTGGCTGTGTCAGGGGGGGTGGGGGGGTCCCGGCGAGGATTTTGCTGAGTGGGGGGGCCGTGAAATTGACGAAAACCCATGCCCAGAGGCCTCAGGAGGCTGGCTGTGTCAGGGGGCCAAGGGGGGTCCCGGCGAGGATTTTGCTGAGTGGGGGGGCGCAGGAGGCTGGCTGTGTCAGGGGGGGTGGGGGGGTCCCGGCGAGGATTTTGCTGAGTGGGGGGCGTTGAAATCTACGAAAAACCCATGCCCTGAGGCCTCAGGAGGCTGGCTGTGTCAGGGGGGGTGGGAGGGTCCCGGCGAGGATTTGGAAGGGTGAGTGGCCCGTAGAAACCTATGCCCAGAGGCCTCAGGGGGGCTGGCAATGTCAGACGCAGTGGGGGCGCGGTGGGCTGATCCCGGGGAGGATTTTGCAGGGTGGGTGGCTCCTAGAAACCTATGCCCAGAGGCCTCAGGGGGGCTGGGAATGTCAGGCGCGGTGGGGGAGTCCCGGCAAGGATTTTGCAGGGTGGGGGTCGGTTTTGGGCGAGGAATGGTGGTGTTGGGGAGGCCCAAGAACAGAGGAACGGAGGCTCCATGGGGTGGGGAGGCCGGGGCGTGGCGGGGGCATGATGGGGAGCCAGAATTTGTCGTGTGGGCAGGGCGAGGAGAAGAGTATGGATCCATGTTGGGGAATGTTGGGCTAAGGTCCCGGCGAGGATTTTGCAGGGTGGGTGGCTCCTAGAAACCTATGCCCAGAGGCCTCAGGGGGGCTGGGAATGTCAGACGCGGTGGGGGCGCGGTGGGGGGTCCCGGCGAGGATTTTGCAGGGTGGGTGGCTCTTAGAAACCTATGCCCAGAGGTCTCAGGCGGGCTGGGAATGTCAGACGCGGTGGGGGCGCGGTGGGGGGTCCCGGCGAGGATTTTGCAGGGTGGGTGGCTCTTAGAAACCTATGCCCAGAAGCCTCAGGGGGGCTGGGAATGTCAGACGGGAATGTCAGACGCAGTGGGGGGTCCTGGCGAGGATTTTGCAGGGTGGGGATGCTGGAACACGGAGGGAGGTCTTGGCCGATTGTCGGCGGGAGCTCGCGGGCTGGGAGGGCTCTGTGGTCGGCGAGAACTCGCGGGCTGGGAGGGCTCTGTGATGTGTAAGAAGACATCGTATCCAGCTCAGAAGGATATCGCACACGCCTCTGGGGTCGGCGGATATTTACCGTTACTACTAATGCTGCTTTCCTAGGGGCTCCAACTCCTAGGTAGGGTCGCACTGGGATAGTTTTTATCAGCAGGCCCATTTCGGAACCTGTGGCCGTCAATAAAAACGGCCTGCGGTGAAGAACGTTTCTTGGGAAGGGGCCGAGAGCTCCAGGGACCGCAAAGCTTCAAATCACGACGTCGGAGGTCTGGGGATCAGCCACCCCGACATCCTCCGCAAGATGTTCCGATGCTGCTGTATTGTGGCTGGTGGGCTTCGGGCGGCTTGTGGGCCCTCGGCTGTCTATCATCCATTGCGCCTCGCCGAGCAGAAAAGCAAAGCTGCACAAACATACACGGTCGGAGGGCCGCTCGGACTTCTTGGGTCGGCGCTGGATCTCCCTCCCCTGCGCGCGGAGCGCGCCAGGGGCGGCGCTGGAGGCGCCGCCAGGGTTGCCCAGCGCCGATCCAAGAGATCCGCGCGGCGCTCCGCAAGCTTCTGCTGCGACCCAGAGGGAAGAGGCACCCGAGGCGCTGGGCGTGGCGCAGCGGGGGGCAACGCATGGGAGGCCACGCCAGGGCGGCAGGACGGGGGCCCTCAAGGGGGCTCTGGGCCCTCACGAGGGCCCTCGCGCGCCCTCGCGAGGGCCTTTTTGGGGCCCAGCAGGGGGCCCCTGGGGCCCGCGAAGTGCACCTTGCTCCCCCCCCCCCCCCCCCGCCCCTCGGTGGTGGCCCCCCCCTGCCAAGCGATGGCGAAGAGGAGGTACACGTCACACCTGGGCGTCGCGAGAGACGGGTCACGCGACGGGCGTTCCCGCCCGAGCTCCGTGGGCCCTGGAGCCCTCGCGGATCGACGGCCCGGCTCGAAGAGGATGTTGCGCAGGGGTGGGGTCGAGAGCTCTGGTTGTGATGTCTCTGCCGATGCCGTTCGCGGGCGGTGCTTCTCCCCCAGCCCCGGACTTGTCGACGAAAGACACGCCGCTCAGACAAGGAGGAGAACCCTGCCGGAGGAGGGAAAGGTACCGCTGCCGCTGCCGCTGCCCCTGCCCTGTTTTCGCCTCTTGGTGCCTCCTGGGAGGCCCTCGCCGACATGGCTGGATTTCCCTTCGAAGCTCTGGTCAGAACGCACCCCAGGAGAGGTCCGGAGAGTAGCGGCCTCGGTATCTTGTGGTTTCACAAATATGTGTGCGTTTCGCCCGCTCCTAACCAGGGAATGCACGGCCTTGGTTTGAGCGCGATCGTCACACGCAGGAGTGCAATGTATGCTGGACGCCTCCCGTGAACAGACAACCTGCCGCACGTGCTTCACTACGAAGAAGCGCGAACGTGTGTGTGTGTGTGGGTGTGTGCCGCGCGCGCTCCTCTCGCTTGGGGATTTTCTCCGCCTCGCTGCTGCGCGCGAGGCCGCCACCGCCAAGAAGTGTCTGTGTGTGTTGTCGGCGCTGCCACCATTGTGCGGCCTTCGCTGTGTCCCTGCCGCCACTGCTGGCCTTTGGCCCCCTTGTCCTTGACGTCTGGCCGTGGCATTCCTGTAGCTTCCACCCTCTTTGTCCCCCTTGCCTTCGTGGCCATGTCGTTTCCATGCCGGTCGGCTCGTCTGCCCCCTTCGTCTGACCCCCTTGCCATCCACGCTTGGATGACTCATGACCTACTGCCGGCGCTGCATGTTCTAAGCGGCTTGAGGGCTCAGCCTTTAAACGCGCGTGCGCGCCAGCTTTTCTTACGTTTCTACGGCCCTGCCGCTGCGCGCGAGGCTGCGACGCCAAAAAGTGTGTGTGTGTGTGTGTGTGTGTGTGTTTGGTGTGTGTGTGTGTTTGGTGTGTGTGTGTGTGCGTGTGTGTTTGGTGTGTGTGTGTGTGTGTGTGTGTGTGCGTGTGCGTGTGCGTGTGCGCGTGTGCGTGGTGTGTGTGCGCGCGTGTGTGTGTGTGTGTGTGTGTGTGTGTGTGTGTGTGTGTGTGTGTTTGTGCGTGTGTTTGAATCTGTATGTGTAGCAGTGCAGCACGCATTGGACATTATATCGGCTCTAGAACCAACCATGCTGTCTCGCCTTTTCCGTGCACATTGAAGTTTAGCGGACTTGCATGGTCCGTTTTCACGAAATTGTTGCCGAGTTTCTCGGGACATTTATCCTCGTACTCACGGTTGGTTGCAATGTCCTCAGTGGCAATACTGCCTGGGGTGGAGTTTCAGTCGGTAGCGCTCTGATGGTCTGCGTCTACGGCCTGGCACCTATTTCTGGTGCAAACTTCAATCCTGCAGTATCAGTGGCCCTGGGTCTTGTGTCGAGCATGGGTCTCGCCGACTTCGAGTTTCCTTGGAAGAAGGTTGTCATTTACACGTCGACGCAGTGCCTGGCCGCGGTCGTGGCTGGCGCCTTACTGCGCTTCCCGCAGGCGGATCCGCTTATGGACACGATTCCGCTTGCCTGGCTGGCTGGACGGGTTTCGTTTGGCTGGCTCTCGTCTCTAGCCTGGCGTTTCTCGTCAACGTTGCCGTGCGACGGTGTTAGTGACTGCTGCGCGCGCGGCATATTGCAGCTGTCGGTCGCCTGCGGGGCTCGCTCGAGGGGCTTCGACCCCTTGCTGGTACCACGCCGTGACTTCCCAAGTGCGTCCGGTGCATGGCCACACCGATGTTCGGGCTCGTTGGGGCTCCTCTTGGCTCCCTAGGTGTGATCGGTGTTCGGTGTCTGTCGAGGACGGGGCCGGCGATCACCGATCGCAGTGCCCAGACGATCGTGTGCAATTGACGGGCGGGCCACGCGCTCAGCGGGAGGTCGGCGGCGCGCCCAGGGTGGAAGCGAGAAGGGGCAGGCCTTCTCAGAAGGCGGCGAGGCTCCTCGGAAGTCCTGCGGCCTTCTGAGAGGCCGTTCCTGTTCTCGGAGAGGGCCCAGACGGCCTCTCGGAAGGCCCCATCCTCTCTGCGTCCCGCCCCGGGCTCGCCGCCGAGGCGGAGCGAGGTCCTCCTCGGGATCGCCGCGCCTCCGCAGAGGATGCCCCGCCGAGGCCGCCGTGGGCCACGCGGCCCTCTTCCGGAACTCCTTCCGCCTGCAGCCCGGCGCAGGCTTCGGCTGGGTCAACGCTGGACGCCGGGGAAGCGGGAGCACGTGCACCCACGGGCGAAGAACACCTCCGCATCCGCGGCCTGGCAGGCCGGGCCCCTGGGCCGCGACCCCGCGGAAAGGGCTCGGTCTTCTGCTCTTCTGCGGGTGCCCCGCGCGCCAACGCATCCGAGAGACCGCGTACTCGCGGGGTCGCGCCACGGATTCCAGACCATGAGGGCGCGGGTACAGGTATGCTCGCCGCTCGTGGTGGACGCCAGGGGCGGGAGCACGTGCACACGTCCGCCGGGCCCCCGCGAGCACATACCCATATTTGAGACGATCTGTCTTCCCCCCCATTCTAAGTGGTGTTCTCATTTTTTCTGGACACTCCGCGCAGGAACCAACATAGTATCATCATAATCATCATCATCATCAACATCATCCTCCTTCTCCTCCTCCTCATCCTCATCATCATCATCGTCATCAACACCATCAGCATCATCACCACGATCGTCATCACCATCATCATCATAATCATCCTCATCCTCATTCTCATTCTCACCATCAGCATCATCCTCAGCATCATCGTCATCGTCATTGCCATCATCATCTTTTTCATCATTATCCTGATCATCATCAACATCCTCATCATCATCCTCATGATCATCCTCATCATCATCCTCATCATCATCGTCATCGTTACCGTTATCGTTATCATCACCATCATCGTCGTCGTCGTCGTCATCGTCATCATCAGCGTCCTCATCATCGTCATCATCACCATCATCAGCAGCACACTCACGATGGTATGCATCATCATCACCCTCATCTCCGTCGTCTTCGTCATCATCACCATCACCACCACCGTCAGCATCATCACCATCACCGTCACCATCATCAACATCACCACAACTATCCTCATACGTCTCATCATCATTATCATGATTATCAAAGCCACCACCACCACCACCACCACCATCATCATCATCATCATCATCATCATCATTATCATCATCATTCTCATCCCTATCCTCTTCCTCTTCCTCATGTTCATCATTATCATCATCCAGAGCCTGACCATCAACATCAGCATATGTATCAACTGCAGCATCATCATAACCAACCTCACAGCCATCATCAACAGCAGCAGCACCATCATCTTCATCATCACCCATCTTCCTCAGCTATCATCATCATCACCATCATCATCATAATGATCATCATCGTCACTGTCGTCACTCATCAGCAAAAATCCTCATCATCACCATCACCATCACCATCACCATCACCATCACCATCACCATCACCATTACCATCACCATCACCATCATCATCATCATCATCACAATCATCATCATCATCATCATCATCATCATCATCATCATCATCATCATCATCATCATCATCATCATCATCATCATCATCATCGGCATCATTATCACCATCACCATCGGGAAATCGTGAGTGGGAGCGTCGTCTGTCAGTTCGCAGCGAGGACGTCTCGAGCGGGAGCACCCCTCCGTATAGGGCCCGCAATTCATGCTTCCCATCCGAGGCGGCCATCCTCCGTCACTTTTGGGTTCTTGAGGCCCGAATCTTGAGGACTTCTCGATCGGGCACGTCGTCTGTGAGTGAACGGCGAGCAAGTCTGGAGCGGGAGCCCCCTGCTCATGGGGCTCGCCATTCATGATACTAATCCCAGGCGGCCATCCTCAAATCTGTAGTCGTCGTCACTTTTGGGGTCTTCAGGCCTGAATCTCCAGGACGTCTCGAGTGGGAGCCACGTCTGTGAGTGAATGGCGAGGAAATTTCGAGCGGGAGCGCCATCCCTAGGGGGGCTCAACGTCATGTTACTAATCCGAGGCGGCCATCCTCAAACTTGTAATCGTCGTCACGTTTCGGGTGAGGCCCAGGCGGCGGATGGCACACGTTTCGGCGAGCTGGTGGCGACAAGAGGCATGCATGGAAGTGGGTGCTTAGGCTGTCTTCTTCGGCATTCGCGGACGAGCTTGTTGTCGCGGCCGTCGCACTTGAACTGCGAATCCGCATTTGCTGCATTCCGCGCGCGCCCGATTCTGCAGTCTCGCCGCGGCGGGCGCCGCCCGCGCGGCTCTCCTCCGCTTCGGGCGGCGCGGGCGACGTTATATATGTCGGGAACAACGATGTCCACTAACGTGCACTTGTCGCCGCGAGCTCTGCTAGCGCCCCGAGCGCGCGCGAGCAAATGGGGAGCCATGCTGGCCTGGGGGGCAGGGCAGCGAAGTTGAGGCGCTTGCAGTCGGTGCCTACGTTGTCGCCGCCGCGGCAGCCCCAGTGAGGCACTTGGCCCTCCTCCGTTGCCAGGCTCTGCCAGTGGGAAGCGGGTAGTGAGTGCGAGGGGTACGGCGTGCAGGGTTTAGCAGCGGGCTTGCAACAGAGGTGTTTTGTTTTGCTCGAGTGCGCAGCTGTTCGAGCATGCGCCGGCGCAGATCAGAAGCCTCGGGCGTTCGGCGTAGAAGTGGGGGCGCCACCAAGTGACGCTGGCATCGCGCCATGGTGCGCCAGCATGTAGCGAAGACCATCATGCCACACCGCTTCGCTCATGTAGCCATCATGATAACGAACAGGCGGTGCCAGCGTGCCAGATATGGAACTACACGTCGATATATATATATATATATATATATATATATATATATCGGAGGTTGGGGGGTGAGATCGAAGTGGAACGGAGAGCCCCCCTACCGGGAAATCGATTTCGGTTTCGTGTTCGTGCGTGCCGTGCGGGCGAGGCGAAGCTGCGTGGGCGGGCGAGAGAAAGTCTCCTGTGGCTGAGGCGCGGCCGGACCAAATGACTCCCTTCCGGGCGGCCGGTGGCCCGCGGTGTCCCGCCGGTGTCCCGCTGGTGTCCCGTGTGGCTGAGGCGCGGCCGGACGAAATGACTCCCTTCCGGGCGGCCGGTGGCCCGCGGTGTCCCGCCGGTGTCCCGCTGGTGTCCCGTGTGGCTGAGGCGCGGCCGGACGAAATGATTCCCTTCCGGGCGGCCGGGGCGGCGCGGTGTCCCGCCGGTGTTCCGCCGGTGTCCCGTCCGTGTCCCGTCGGTGTCCCGATGATGATGTTGATGATGATTATGATGATGATTATGATGATGATGGTGATGATGATGATGATGATGATGATCATGGTGATAATGATGATGATGATGATGTTGATGATGGCGATGATGATGATGATGATGATGATGATGATGATGATGATGATGATGATGATGATGGTGATGATGATGATGATGTTGATCTTGATGATGATTCTGATGATGATGACGTCGATTGCGAGATCGATTGTGATATCGGTAGTGAGACCGAATGTGAGATCGATTGTGCGATGCTGATGGTGATGATGGCCTTCATGGTGTTGATGTTGGTGATTATGATGGCGACATTGATGATGATGATGATGATGATGATGATGATGATGATGATGATGATGATGGTGATGGTGGTGATGCTGATGATCATGATGAATACGATGCTGATGATGCTGATGATGATGATGATGATGATGTTGATGGTGATGTCGATGATGATGATGATGATGATGACGACGCGGACTCGCGGCTGTTGGTCGTGCCTTGCGCGACCGCCGTCCACAGGCAGGGCCCCGAGCACGTTGGGTCGGGGTCCGGGGGGCTCGGGTGTCCCAGGGGCCTTGGTGCGGGTGTCCCAGGGGCCTTGCGGGCCTGGGGGTCCTCGGCGCTCAGGGCCTCCTAGGGTTCAAGGGTCCAGTCTGGGGGTCGAGGGCTCCAGGGGCTCGAGGCCTCCAGAGGTTCAGGGGTCCAGTCTAGGGGTCGCCATCACCATCACCATCTCATAATCATTACCACCATCAACAACATCATCACCATCGCCGGGACACCACCGTCAATTCTCGTACCATTCACGGATTTTGGCTCAAGGCTTCTGTTGCGCTCGACACGCGGGGTTCCCCCCAAACGCGCCCACTTCGGTCACGCACTTCCTTCGGCTTCGCAACGAGGGGCCAGGCTTTGCCAGCCGAAATGCTCGACAAGAGTTTGGAGACGCTGAAGAACATGAACACCCAGACGGCCAAGTACGCCAAGTGGTACGTGAGGGTCCTCGACCCGAAGGTCATTGATTACACGTTCAAAGCGAGGAACTAAAAAGTGGAGGCGCAGAAATTCAGTTGCGTTTTGGTGTCCAACGCGCCCGCGCAGTACATGCTCGGCGCGGTGCCCTTCAGTTTCAAGAGTCGGGCTGCGGCAGCCGAAGCCTTCGAGAAATTCACGGCGGACTCCGCGTGGGAGCTCCGGGCCCCGAGCTCCGGTTCCCAGGGGGAGGGCCGAATGGTACCGAGGCGCCAAAGAGCAAAGGGATACGTAAACAACTCGACACCAACGCCCCCAAGAACGAGCGGCAACGCAACTATCTCCACTGGCATTGCCACAACAACATTCACCACTGTTGCCCATTGCTGGGCCCCTCCCCCCCAAACCTCCTTATCACCCGCAGGGTGGTCGTATAGGTGTGCGTGTGTGTATATATATCAAGTGGAACAGAGAGCCCCCCTGCCGGGAAATCGATTTCGGTTTCGCGTTCGTGCGCGCCGTGCGTGCGGGCGAGGCGAAGCTGCGTGGGCGGGCGAGAGAAAGTCTCCTGCGGCTGAGGCGCGGCCGGACCAAATGATTCCCTTCCGGGCGGCCGGTGGCCCGCGGTGCCCCGCCGGTGCCCCGCGAAAGTCCCGCGTGGCTGAGGCGCGGCCGGACCAAATGACTCCCTTCCGGGCGGCCGGTGGCCCGCGGTGTCCCGCCGGTGTCCCGCGAAAGTCCCGCGGTGTCCCGCGGTGCCCCGCGGTGTCCCGCGGTGTCCCGCGATGATGATGATGATGATGGTGATGCTGATGATTCTGCTGCTGATGATGATGATGACGTCGATGATGATGGTGGTGACGCTGCTGATGATGATGAGGACGATGATGATGATGATGATGATGATGATGATGGTGTCCCGATGATGAGGAATATGATGATCATGATGATTATGTTGATGATCGCGATGATGACGATGATGGTGTCCCGATGGTGATGAGTATGATGATGTTGATGTTGCTGATGTTGATGATGATTGTGTCCAGATGATGATGATGTTGATGATGATGAAGTTGATGATTTTGGCGTCCTGGTGATGATGATTATTATGATGGTGATTGTGATGCTGTTGATGATGATGGGCTCCCGATGGTGATGATGATGGTGATGATGTTGATGCTGATGCTGTTAATGATGATGATGGTGCCCCGATGGTGACCACGATGCTGATGATGCCGATGATGCTGTTGATGATGCTTATGATGCTGATGATGATGTCGGTGATGCGGATGAGATGGTGATGATGATGGTGTTCCGATGATGATGTTGATGATGATGCGAACGATGGTGATCATGATGGTGTCCCGATGATGATGCTGTTGATGATGATGATGATGATGCCGATGACTGTGTTCCGATGCTGCTGATGATGATGATGTTGATGATGATGATGGTGATGATGATGATGATGATGGTGGTGTCCCGATGATGTTGGTGACCGTGATGATGATGATGTTGGTGTTGATGATGAAGATGGTGTCCCCATTATTATGATGTTGGTGATGATGATGTTGATGCTGTTGTTGGTGATGATGATGACGTTGAGTGTGAGATCGATTGTGATATCGATAGTGAAATCGATCGTGAGACCGAATGTGATATCGATTGTGAGATCGAGTGTGAGATCGATTGCGAGATCGATAGTCACATCAATTGTGAGATAGATCGGGTGATATCGATTGTGAGATCGACCGACGGAGATCGATCGAGCGATACCGATTTTGAGATCGATAGTGAGATCGGTAGTGGGACCGATCGACTGAGACGTTGGTTCCTCCCCCCCCCCCCGAACCTCCTTATCACCCGAAGGGTGGTCGTATAGGTGTATATATATACATGTATTTGTACATGTATAGATATTGTAGTAGCTTCCGGCCAGTGCCGCCGATCCGGGGCGCTCCTGATGCTATTGTTCTTGAAGTGGACGATGACGACGACAACGGACGACCAACGGTCGTCGAGCGGGATATTTACGACGACGACCGACGAAAGAGTTAATGACGACGAACCGACGACGACGACGACGACGACGACGACGACGACGACGACCACTGACGGCGAACGGCTGCCGACGGCCGACGACCGACGACTGGTGAGGGCGATTGGTGGAAGGTTTTTCGTTCATCGCTTTCGCTTCCGAGCAATACCAAGTCAGGCCGTGCACTTCTGGCCTGGCAGCACGCGAGTGAGCGCCTCTTGGGGCCTCTTGGTTCTTGGGGCTTTTTGGGAGCCTTTGGGGCCTCTTGGGGGCCTCTCGGGGTCCTCTTGGGGGCATCTTGGGGACCTCTTGGGGGCCTCTGGGGGCCCCTTGGGGGCGCCTCGGAGGCATCTCGGGGGCTCTTGGGGTCACCTTGGGGTGGAGGACTAGAAGGGCCCGTTCAGATTCACCCTCTTGAGGCCATCTTGGGGGCCTCTCGGGGTCGTCTTGGGAGGCCTCCAGGACTATATTGGGGCCCTCTTGGACCGTCTTGGCTCCTGGGGGCCTCTTGGGCTGTCTTGGGGCGATCTTGGGGGCCTCTTGGACCGTCTTCGGCGCTTCTCAGACGGAAAAGGCGATAATGTTCAAATGCTCCAAAACCTATTAGCAACTTTATTATTGTACCCTCTTGGGGCCCTCTTGGGGGTCCTCTTGGGGTCTCCTTGAGGCGTCTTGGAGGCCTCTTGGGCCGTCTTCAGGTCATCTTGGGCGTCCAGGAGCGCTCTTGGGCCGTTTCGGGCGCCTCCTGGACCGTCTTGGTGGCCTCCTGGGCCCCTTTTGGCCCGTCTTGGGGCGGTTTGGGACTCCCGGGGGGGGGAAAGAAAGGGTAGACCCCATGAACCCCCCCCCTCCCCCCCCTACCCCGACAGAGCCACCCATGGGGCGGTTTGGGATTCCCGGGGGGGGGGAAGAAAGCGTGGACCGGATGACCCCCCCCCCTCCCCCCCCCTACCCCGGCAGAGCCCCCCGGCCCCCCCCCAGCAGAGCTGAAGCTCAGGTTGTAGCTTTCTTAAATTCACGCGCCGGATCGGCGGATTTAGGTCTATCTTTATGGACATATATATATATATATATATATATATATATATATATATATATATATATGTATGTATACATGTATCTATATATAATAACATATATACAGATCTAGATATATAGAAATGGGTGTCCTGAGTAGGAAATTCGATCGATAGGTCGATAGATGGGCCGATGTGCGCGACAGTAGGGAAGTTGAAGAAACCACCAAAGAACCCCAAACCATTGCAAATCGACAGCCTCCCCGTCCCCCCCCCAACCTCCTTATCACCCGTAGGGTGGTCCTATCGGCGCGAATCACCAGACTTATATCAGTAAAATTCAGAAGAATCGTGATACTACTAACGATGCAAAATAAGCAGAAGAGTCGCAATATCATTAATACCAGCTCTAATGCGAAGAACAATAATAATAACATTACTACATAAGCTATAACAACAATGAGACGAGGAGGATGGGGAGGAGGAGGAGGAGGGATGAGGATGCGGATGTTGATGATAAGGATGCGGATGATGAAACGCAGGATCACGAGGTCTGCGTGCGTCTCTACAATTCCTTGGTTTGCCGCAGCTGCGATCGCCCATTACTTGGGAAGGTGCAAGCCAGTGATGCTGTCAAGGTTTTAGTCTTGTATGTAAGTGGTGCAAGCCACGAGTGATGCTGTCGCAGTAACACCCTGTGTTGCTACACAGGGCTAGTGCCCGCGACATCGTTGCGCACGGCGCGACCCTTCTTCTCAGTACCTATCAGAACCCATCAGGTGGAGGAGGGGCAGGAGGAGGAGGAGGAAGAGGAAGAGGAGGAGGAGGAGGAGGAGGAGGAGGAGGAGGAGGAGGAGGAGGAGGAGTCTAAATTTGGGACGGGAGGAGGGCCTCCGCCAGGGCGATGAGGGGAAGGCGATGGGCGACTTATTAAACAGATTGTCATGTGGGGGGTCACCGTCGGAGTCATTTGTCCGGGGGCTTATCTTCGATCTCGGCCCACGGTGGCCGTTATCGGGCCCCGGGAGGGACCTTTCAACGTGGATTTGGGACGAACAGCCAACCCTGGGGAGGCGGTCGGGACTTCTGGGGCCGCGGATTGAACAAATCCGATCGGCGGATGGTTGGGGTGTTTGTGCCCAGATCCTGTCTGATCACGGCCCATTCCCGAACGCGTCGGGAGCCCACCTCCGCCAGCACCTGGGCCCAGGGCGGGGCGCTGGAAGCCTGGTGGTGTGGTACTCTTTCCTTCGTCTTGGGAATTGACGTGCGGCGCTACTGTCGGGAAGTTTCGCATCGCGTGTCGATGCGCCGGTTTTGGCCCACCACGCTTTGCACCGAGCCGCTATCCGCTTCCCTCCCCAGAGTCAGCGTCTGGAGTTTTTCCGAGCCGCCCGCCCCGCAGGACGTAGCGACACGCTATGCGCTCGCAAGGCTTAGAGTGTTGCCTGGGCCGCCGCCGCGACACGCTGTGCAACATTCGGAGGGCCCGCGCGGATTTCCGGGGTCGATGCTGTGCTCCCCCCTTCCACCCCTGGCGGCTCTTCCGGCGCTGCCCCCCTGTACGCTCTGGGCTGTGCGGAGGGGGTCAGCGCCGACCCGGGAACTCGGCAGGGACATCCGACCAGCATTCGGTGATGTTGCTTTTTGGTCTTGTTCTTCTCGGCGTTTGCTGCCTACGACCGGCGCCTGCAGCTTGTGGCCTGGCAAAGACGAGGAGGAACATTGACTACGTATTTCGCTGAGACGGAACGCATGTTTGGCTCTGTTTTTTTTCAGGACTTGTGGAGTTCTTCTACACCTTCATGCTGTGCTTCGTCGTGCTCAACGTTGCCGTTAGCACGTCGGCCAGGAAGGACCAGAATCAGTTCTTCGGCCTGGCCATCGGCTTCGTGATCGTCGCCGGCGCCTATGGAGGCCTGGGAATGGGAGCTGGAAGCCCAATCCAGCTCCTTCTCGTCCTCCTTCGGGATCTGAAGAAGAGTCTGGTCAGCATTCGGTTCGGCCAAGTCCTTTCAGATAATGCCCGGGAGGCCCCGGGTATTGACCTGATTGGCTGTGGCCCTGTGGCGATGATGATAATCGTGGTGATGATGATGATCATGATGATGACGATGATGTTGATGACGGTGGTGGTGGTGGTGGTAGCAGTGGTGATGATGATGATGATGATGATGATGATGATGATGCTGATGATGATGATGATATTGGTGATGGTGAGGGTGATGGTGGTTATGCCGACCATGATGATGATGATGATGATGATGCTGATGCTGATGATGGTCATGCTGCTGATCATATCGACGTTGACGTCGATGCTTGTTTTTTATATTGATGTTGATGTTGATGATATCGTTGGTGATGATGATGCTCGTCATGATGATGCTGATGATGCTGATGATGTTGCTGATGATGACGCCGACGACGACGCTGCTGCTGATGATGCACATGATGTTGATGGTGTTGATCATGATGATGCTGTTGATGATGTTGATGCTGATGTGGGCGATTATGCTTATGTTGATGTTGATCAGGATGATGATGCTTATGATGATGATGCTGATGATGATGACCATGCTGATACTGATGATGCTGATGATAATGAATAGTACGATGGTGATGTGGATGCTGATGCTGATGATGTTGATGCTACTGATGATGCTGATGCTGCTGATGCTGATGATGCTGATGATGATGATGCTGGTGGTGATGATTATGATGATCATGCTGGTGACGATGATGATAATGCTGCTTATGGTGATGATGATGATGATGATGATGATGAAACTGATGATGATGATGATGCTGCTGATGATGTTGATGATGAGTATGAAGACGATGCTGATGATCATAAAGAAGATGCTATTGATGATGATGTTGCTATGCTGATGCTGCTGATGATGATGCTGCTTATCATGCTGATGCTAAGACTGTTGTTGATGTTGATGTTGATGTTGATGTTGATGATTATGGTGCTGATGTTGATGTTGATGTTGATGTTGCCGTTTGTGTCGATGAAGCTGCTGATGGTGTTGATGATGCTGATCGTAGTGATGATGCTGATTCTGATGATGCTGCTGTTGCTGCTGCTGCTGCTGCTGATGATGATGATGATGATGATGATGATGATGATGATGATGATGATGATGATGATCATGAAGAAGATTCTGCTGATGCTGCTGCTGATGATGATGATGCTGTTGTTGCTGATGATGATGCTGCTGCTGATGCTGCTGCTGCTGATGATGATGATGATGATGATGATGATGATGATGATGATGATGATGGTGGTGGTGGTTGTAGTGGCGGTATCGATAACGTTGATGAGCTGGAGGGTGAGGTCGAGGACGACAGGGAGGATAGGGAGGCCACTGAGGAGGAGGGGGTGGGATGAGGATGGTACTTTGACCGCTTACGCCGCCCTCAGGAGGCGTAGTGTCCGGGGGATGCGCCGTCCTCAGCCGCCCCTGGTCGCCCCGGCAAGCGCCGGTCGCCCCGCCGTCCGCCCGAATGCCAGGCGCAGACTACCAGAGGGAGGGGGGGAGGACATGTGGGAGGGGGCAGGGATCGGGGGTTGGCGGGGATGGGGAGGATGAGGAGGAGGAGGAGGAGGAGGAGGAGGAGGAGGAGGAGGAGGAGGAGGAGGAGGAGGAGCGGGAGGTGGAGGCCTCTCCCTCTCGTCCTTCCTCTGCTCCCCCTCTCTCTCCGCCGCTCTCTCTCCGCCCCCACCTGGCCGAGGGCGCCCCGCATCCTCCTCGAGGCCTGGGGCGGCGCCCCGATTGTGTCACCGGTGGCGTCAGCTCGGTGGGCTGGTCGGCATAACACTCAGACCCTTCGCTCAGAGTCCCTCTCCCTGCCCCGCTCCCCAGTGCCCGTCCGTGTGCCTGCCCGCCCGCGCAGGAGGAGGAGGAGGAGGAGGATGAGGAGGAGGATGAGGAGGAGGAGGAGGAGGAGGAGGAGGAGGAGGAGGAGGAGAAGGCTCGGCCCCCACGCCCTCTGGCCAGGCGGGGGCTGGTGGGTCGACGGGCTGCCCCTGGCCTGGGCGCCCTCAGCCGAGCAGCGGAGGGACGGGCAGGTTGGGACCCGGTCAAGAACCACGGACGTCGTCGGCCCTCGGCCCTGGGTCCTCGGCCCTCGGCGAGCGCGCGCTCGGCCCTCGGCCGGCCTTCCAGGCTTCAACCCCGCGTTGGCCCTGGGCGCCCACTTTGCGATCGGCTTCGACGGCCATCTCGCTTACCTCGTCTACGCCTTCTGCCAGCTGCTGGGTGCGGGGGCGGCCGCCCGGCTCTTCAAGGCGGTCGGCCTGACCGCCGCCGCCGCGGCCGCCGCCGCTGCCGCCGCCGCCGTCGTCGTCGTCGTCGCCGCCGCCGTCGTCGTCTTCGTCGTCGTCGTCGTCGTCGTCGTCGTCGTCGTCGTCGGCGGCGGCACCGCCGCCGTCGTCGTCGTCGTCGTCGTCGTCGTCGTCGTCGTCGTCGTCGTCGTCGTCGTCGTCGTCGTCGTCGTCGTCGACCGTCGTCGTCGTCGTCGTCGTCGTCGTCGTCGTCGTCGTCGTCGTCGTCGTCGTCGTCGCACATCCCGCTGCTCGCACTTCCTGCCAGGGGGGGCCTCGCGAGGTAGGTGAGCTCGGTCAGGCCACTGGGTTATGCTGCGCCTGGCCCTGAGATCTGCGCGCCGCGAGGAGAAATCCACGACGGGGGTTGTCGCTCCGTCCCAGGCCCCACGACCCCCACGGAAGATGGGGTGGAGAACTTTGGTCACGGTTTTTTTCCCCCTCAGCCCATTCCAAGTCGGTCAAGCCGACTCCAGGGAGCGCCGTGCCAGAGGACGCGGAGTGCCGTGCCGTTGGCCCGCGGTGCCCCAGGTACTGCAGGTGCGTAGTTCGGCAGGCCCTGGGCGTCGCCCCCACCGTTGCCTTCGCCTCCTGGGGCCCGAGCACGCGTGCAGCATGCATGATTCAGCGCACACCACAGTATCTGCAGGCTACGACTTCGCTTCCCTGATCTCTGGTAGTCGTTCATTCGTTCGTTGATTGGTCTGGCTTGCTCTGGTTGTCGTTCGTTCGGTGTGGTTGTCGTTCGTTCGTTGATTCCTAGGGCTGTCGTTCGTTCGTTCGTTGTTTGCTCTGGTTGTCGTTCATTCCTTCGTTGATTCCTAGGGCCCGAGCCCCACGGGCCTTCGCCTCCTGGAGCGTCTGGCCAGCGGGCCATTCGCGTCTCCGCTGCTGCGGCTGCCGACAGCCTCCGAAACCGTTCGAAAGCTTCCGAAGTCGGGGAACAAAGAGCGGCATAAACGTAACCTGTCGGAGGTCCGCGCGGACCTCGGAAAGTGTAGGTTTTTGTGGTTTTTCTGTATCTATGTGGGGACCTGGGGGGCCATCCGAAGAAGGCGCACGGCGGAGCTTTCTCGGTCAAGCCCGGCTCGGGGGTTTAGGCAGGCTGCGCACTCTTCCGACCCCCAGGGTGGAGCGCGAGCATCTCGATCAGGCTAATCGCGACCTGCTTCCGAAGCGCTGAGCTCAAACTGGCTTTCTCGTGGCGCGATGGCGGGCATACTGGAAATCCCTTACTCCACTTCCTCCCTTTCTTCCCGAAACGCCATGGCACCAAGCTCTGATGTTCAGCCCACGCACCGACCCCAAATCTCCTCACCCAGGGAACGAGCCCTTGCGCAAGCCTTGTCATGGCCTTCGCGCCATGCGCCATGGGGGTGCCTACACTCCGAACTGAGGGTCTCGGCTTCTTTGAGCATTACCCCCCATAGTCGAGACCCTCCGCTTTCTCTTTTTTCCTTTTCCTCTTCTGGGCGACAGCGGCGTAGACGACCATTCTGGCGGCGGCGGCGACGACGGCGTCGAGGAAGACGACGAGCCCCGCCTCGAAGCCCCAGAAGGGATGTCTGGGGAGCAGGCTCGGCGCGAGGGGCCCCTGGCGGGCCAGCTCCGGCAGCCCATGCGGGCCCGGAGCTCCCGGCCCCCGGACCTATCCAACTTTCGCCAGAGGACGCGTGCAGTGGAAACCTAGGCCAAGAAGCACCCTGCTTGCCTCCAAGGTGCCCCGGGTTTGCTGTGTTTCGATGGTTTCGCAATGGAGAGCGTGACGTTCCCACACCAAACATCAATTGATGTCTTTGGGGTCTCAGGGTTGGGTTTCTCGTGGAAGGTTTCCTGTGGTCGAGCTCTTGATTTTTCATGGGCAGGCGATACACCGGGGGGCAGCGAGGGTTGCAGAAAGGGGCCCTCTTGGGGCCCCTCCAGGGGCTTCTCCGGGCCCATGAGGGGGCCTCCAGGGCCCGAAAAGGGCACCTCGCTCCCCCCCCCCATTTCATCGCCCCCCACGAATTCGCGCCTAAATTCGCAAGCCCCCAAACGGTGTGGTGACTGAATCCCGGGGGGCGAGTGGAGGCTTTCTCGGGGGTTCCTGGGGTCGTTCCTCCCTTGCGATGCATTGCAGCAGCTGCGCCTCGCCGAGATCGTTCTGTGGCTGCCCAGATCGTCCGAAAGGCCGCCAGAGACCCGAGTTGTGGCCCGGAAGCTCACCATTCGGAGGAGGGCCAGTGTGGTTGAGCAGAACGGATTCGGGGTCGCCGCGCGGTTTTGGGACTCGGGTCGTTCTCCGAGGACGTCTCGCGAGCTACCAGGGCCTCCGAGGCCCCAAGACCGTGCGGTGACGGACCGCGCGGTGAGGCCGTGGGGGATTCCGTGGTCACCACGCGGTCCGTCACCAGACGGTTTGGGGGCCCCGAAGTATGGCCCAGGAGCTCTCGACTCCGAGACCTCCAACGCCTTGGAACAGATCGAGGATTTCCCTTCGCAGTGGTCGGGCTCTGGGGTCGGGTCGGACGAAAGGGGGAGCTGGGGAAAGCGAGGGTATCGACATCTGCTACATGCAGCTGGTCTCCGCCCCACCGCCAGGCCCATCCCTCGATACATGGGCGCCTCCCCGCGCCAGGGGGCGTCAGGAAAACCGGCTACGTGAGCTCCCGTCGACGCCGGCCGGCGACGGGCAGCCACGATGACGGACGGCGGACGACGGACGGCGGACGACGGACGACGACCACGGATGACGACGGACGACGGACGACGACGGACGACGGACGGCGGACGACAACCGACAACGACGACCGCGGCAACGACGGACGACCACCACGGGACGACGACGACGACGACGACGACGACGACGACGACGACGACGACGACGGCGACGGCGATGTCGACGTCGACGCTGACGACGACGACGACGACGACGACGACGACGACGACGACGACGACGACGACGACGACGACGACGACGACGGCGATGTCGACATCGACGACGACGACGACGGTCGACGACGACGACGACGACGACGACGACGACGACGACGACGACGTCGACGACGACGACGACGGTCGACGACGACAACGACGTCGACGACGACGACGACGACAACGGCGTGCGGCGAAGACGGGCGACGGCAGACGGACGGCGACGGCGGCCTGCCCGTGGCCGAGGTGGTCCGGCCCTGGGACTTCGGGGGCGCCGCCGCCGCCGCCGGCGGCGCGCAGAAGGCCGGCACGGGCGGGTCGGCCGCGGGCGGGTCGTTCGGGTATGGCCAGGACCCCGGGTAAGGGGACCCGGTCACCGGTAGGGCTCCGGAGCCTTCGAATTGGCCAGAATCACGAATCCAGGTTTGCCATATAGATGGTGTTCTGTTCGGGTGGCGGCAGTTCCGGTCAGTGGAAACGGGGCGGGGGGGGCGCCCCTGGTACACATCACTAAACCAGGTTCCACTAAACCCAGTTCTGCCAACGCCCGAGTCGTGTCCCGGCGGCGCCGCGGCCGTCGCAGGCGAGAGCGGCTGGTCACGCCCCGCTGGGCCCCAGGCCTGGGCAGGCTGTTCTCTGCGAGCCTGGCGCTCCGCTGGCCCCGAGCTCCTGGCGTTGCAGTTTTTTCACAGCGGGCGTGTTCGCCCCCGTCTCGGGCCCTGCAGGGCCCTCACAGATGGATGCGGGGGTCAAAGGATGGCGCGGGGAGAGGGGTTCCGGGGCTCTGGTCGTGATTTTCTGCGATGCTGCAGTTTTTGGGCAGCGTCGGATCTCAGGGTGGATCCATGGGAGGAAGCCGAAGGTGGCACCACTCAATCTCCTTGCGCGGCCATATGTGCTCGCAGCGCGTTGGCCTTGCCTTTGTTGGGCCTGTGCTATCTCTTCCAGTCTGCTCTTGGTTGATCCGCCGATTGGACCGGGGGCGCGTTCCTCACACGAGCCCAGATCCAGATCCTCCCTCCTCCTGGGTTCCATTCCCGGGCCCCGTTGCCTTGTCCGGGGTGGCTCGGGGGCGACCGAGACCCCCTCGCGTTGTGGAACAATCACGGCGGGAGGGTTTTCGCTATTTTCGGCTTCTGGGGGCCCTCACCAGGCCCCGGGGACCGTCAAGAAACGAGGATGACAAACCGGCGCCAGGGAAGAGGTCCAGACCTGTGGGGGTCGACGCTGCAAAAAATCACGACGCCGGGGTATCTGGGGACACTGGCCCTGGGGGAAAGGGGTCGAGGCTTCTACGGGGGCCGCGGGTCGAACGCCCCAGAGCACAGCCCGCGGATCGAGCACCAAGAAGCACACCAACGGGGGGGGGTCTCGCTGCGCCTGGCTCGCTCTGCATGGGCCCGCTTCGCTCGCAGCGGGGATGTTGGGGTGTACGGCCGACGAGGTCTATCTGGACGCGCCCTCTCGAGCAGGGGCCCCCCCCTGGTGTACGGTGGGGGCCTTTGTCAAGGAATGTGCCCGGGAGGCGTCAGACCCTGGATGATTGTTTATCGTGTGAGGGCGGCGGTGATATCCAAGGCCAGGTCCCAGTTGGTGCTCCGCCGGCCTCCAGGCCCTGTATTCCTTTTCCAGTGGCTCCTTACCCAGTAGCCTCACCGTATTCTGGGCACGCCCCTCTCGAGGACGGGTGCCTCCCCCCACCGTGTACCCCCGAGTTGGGCCCCAAGATCGACCTGGCCAGCCACTGTAGATTCCCGCTCAGGTCGGGGAATTGGGTCGCCTTGCCCTTTGTTGCGGAAACCATGCGACGGATAGGGTCGACAGACCTGGAGCGTCCTCCTCCTCCATCCTCTATCTGTGGGCCTAATCTGGTCCTCCTCCTCCTCCTCCTCCTCCTCCTCCTCCTCCTCCTCCTCCTCCTCCTCCTCCTCCTCCTCCTCCTCCCCCCTCCTCCTCCTCCTCTTCCTCCTCCTCCTCCTCCCTTCCCCTCCTCCGCCTCCTCCTCCTCCTCCTCCTCCTCCTTCCTCCCTCCTCTCCTCCTTCCTCCTTCTCCTCCTCCTCCTCCTCCTCCTCCTCCTCCTCCTCCTCCCCTCCTCCTCCTCCTCCTCCTCCTTCCCCCTCCTCCTCCTTCTCCTCCTCCTCCTCCTCCTCCTCCTCCTCCTCGCACTAGCCGTTTGGGCCCCGACCGCCCGAGGTGCTGAGGCGCACCACGGGCTTTTGTGGCCCCCGACAATCTCCACGCGATTTCGGCTGGGATCGACAGTCCTCGAGACGGGATCCAGATCACAAATAGTCGGTAGAAAAAACGATGGGTAAGAGCAAGCGCTCTCGCATCGCGAAGAAGCAGCAGGAGGTGCAGCCTGGGGACCCATGGCCGCCGCTCCCGCTCCGTCCTGGGCCTCAGCAGGCCGCGCCGCGGGGGAGCGGCATCGGGTGGGCGCCATGGCATGTGCCTCAGCCGTGGTACGTGCCGCCGCCGCCGCCCCTGCCTGGGGCTGTGCGGCACCAGCGTGTGTCTCCCCAGGCTCAGGACACCAAGGTGAAGTGCTCGGCGTGTCCGCGCTGGGCCTGGACGAGTAAGTTGGCGATGTATAAGAATACTTGCCTCTGCGGGGCGCCCTTCAGCAACCTTCCGCCGCCCGAGGCCGACGAGGGCGGTGGCGGGCCCAAACCTGGCAAGGGCAAGGGCAAGGGGAAGGACCTGGGCGCTTTGGAGGCGCAGCTGGAGGCGGTCATCAAGGAGCGCGGCGGCACCGAGCAGGCGAAGGCGGCCCAGGCGCTGCTGGATGCTACGCGGGCTGCTGGCAAGAAGACGGACACGGCGCTACCGATCACGCAGCAGGTGACGGCGGCGGCGTCGAAGGTGCAACGGGCTCAGTCGGCTTTCGACAAGGCCCAATCTCAGCAGCTGAAGTTGTCCAGGGAATTGGAAAAGTGTAAGACGACGCTCCAGGATGCAGCGCAGACGTTGGCACAGGCTGAGGCGGAGAGGGCCACTCTTTTCCGCTCCATGGTGCCGACGGCTGCGGGCGGTGGCGCTCAGGCGAGCAACACCATCGATTTGTCGGCGCTGTTGTCGGCGCAATCGGTGGACGACTCGCTGTTCTCCATCTCTCTAGGTGCAGAGTTCGACAATGAGGATGGTCTCATCGAGCAAAAGGATATGGAAGAGCTGGATCGTCGGAAAAAGGCTGTCATGGATGCGCTGATGCACACCTTGCGGGCCACGTTCGGTGAGGCTCACGAGAAGCTCAAGGAGCATCGCGACAACCTGTCGGCGATGCGCGAGAAGGTCGCCAAGCGGCGCAGGGAGCATTCGCCTGGGCCACCTCAGGCGGCGGAGGCGACGGGCGCTGGTCCTGCGCTTACGGCGGCCTCGGCCAACCAGGCGGGCTCGGGCGCAGCCGCCAGCTCGGCTGCAGGCGGCTCTGCGGGCGACGGGGGCGAGCCCGACGCTGTGGAGGCGGCGCGCCTGGCGGCTCTCGAGAGCAAGCTCAAGGCGGACGCGGAGGCGTTGCTGGCGACGGCGCGTTCGGCGGCGGCTGCGGCTGGGCCGCCGAGCCTTTAGCCGTTCGGATCCCCTCGATCGCGGCGGGCCTGATGGTCGAGGGGCATGCCCGCCAGCTACGAGTACGAGATCGGCCCCTACAAGTGCTGGCGCTGCTGCGGGCGCTCTGGCCACTGGGACCCCCTCACCCCCTTTCGTTGCAGCGCGTGGGCGTGAGCCCTGTCCGCAGTCGACGGTGTCGACTGTGGGGGCCGCTGAAGGGGGGGAGGCGTGCGGTCTCGGTGGCCCCGCGGCAGTGGTGGCTTCGTCGTCTGGGACTTCCAGTTCATGTACAGACCTGGCAACCGCAGGCCCCCCCCGCCGCTCTCCGAGCGGTCTCCAAGGGGTTAAAGGGGGGGAGCGCCTTCTCGGGGGCCAGGTCGGATCTGATGCAGTCGTGACCCGCCGTGCGCTGTACATGCGGAACTTGGGTGGATGGGGACCTGCTGCGCGATCTGTGTGTCGAGGTCGTGCCGCTGATATCCTCGTGTTTCCTGAGACTCATGTTCCTGAGGCTGGATCGTACGAGTTGTTGCATGATTGGCGCAAGGCAGGTTACATCGGCATGTTGTCTGCCGCTTACGAGCAGAATGGTAAGTCTCGAGCAGGTGGCATCACCATGGGCACTTTGAAGAAGTACAAGGTTCAGTCGATGCGGCATTTGGCGTCGTCGCCATCGGACCAGGTCGGGCTTCGTGATCTGGATCGGCGTCCAGAGGCCCTGCCAGGCATCGACTTTCGTGATATGGTGGCTATGCAGCTACGGGCCCAGGGCCAGTCTTTGTTGATCGTTGGTGTGTACATGACCTCTTCGATCGGGCCGAAGGCTAACGCTTCCAAGCTCGCTAACGTGGGCACTTTGGTTTCGACGGTTCAGGGGCCGTGGCTCGCCATCGGTGATTGGAATATGACCCCGAAAGAGTTAGCAGGTACGGGTTGGTTGGATCTTGTGAATGGCAGTGTGATCGTTCCGTCTAACACCGAGTACACGTGCACGTTGGGCTCAGGGCGCATGTTGGATTATATCGTGGCTTCTCCGCATGCAATGCCGTGGGTCGAGTCTCTCTTGGCGGACTTTCAGGCGGTGGAGGGGGCGGGCAAGGCCCATTATGGGCTTCAGCTCAGCCTCAACTTCGACGCCTGCCGTGCCAGAGCGTGGCTCATGAGGTTGCCGCGAGCCTTCCCACACCCTGCTCGGCCTAAGCTGTGTGCTGATCCTGATAGCAAGCGTTCGCGGAAGAAAGCGGAGCAGCAGGCGGATCGAGAGGTTCAACCCTTGGGTGTCATGCCCGCTCCATCGTCGTGGGGGCCGAGGCGCAAGCTGGCCATCAAGAGCCCGCCCCCGCTGCAGTATGCCCTTTTTGACGAGGAGGAGGACGAGTTTTTCACGGACGGTGAGGACACGGACGTCCCTGATGATGATGATGATGTGCAGGTGGCCGTCTCTGATTCGGAAGTGGACGCGTATGCCTCGATTCAGTCGGAGTGGCCGTCGGAGGCGAAGGATCTGTTGTGGCAGCAGGTGGCGCCCTCAGTTTCGCGTCGACCCGTTCCTGATTTTGTTCAGCAGTCTTTGGCGTTTCAGGCGGCCGAGGAGGAAGCTCATGACCTTGGGGATGTTTTCGCGTCTTGGGTCTCAACCATGGAGTTGTATTATCTTGAGTTGTATAAGGTGGACCCCTTGGCGAGGAGGCAGTACCGTGGTCGTGATTCCTTGCGAGGCCCTCAGTTGGGAGTGTATGCTGGGAGTAAGCCT